GCACATCATACGGTTGTAGCAAATCAGCGAGATGGGGGGCGACACTGTTCAGTGATTTGTACATACATACATGAGTATTTTGAACTGGATTCGAAAGTGAACCGGTAACCAGTGCAGTGAGGCCAAAACTGGTGTAATGTGCTCTCTTTTGCCTGTACTGGTTAAAAATCGGGCTGCTGCATTCTGGACCAGTTGTAGTCGTGCAATGGAGGTCTGACTGATACCAAACAGGAGTGAATTGCAGTAATCAAGCCTAGATGTAATGAATGCATGTATTACTGTCTCCAGGTTCTTTTTGGACAATACAGGCTTCAGTTTAGACAGCCGCCTCAGTTGAAAGAAGCATGATTTAACAATCATGTTTACATGATTGTTAAGTTTCAGGGAAGGGTCCATTATCACGCCCAGATTAGTGACTCTTTATTTTTCTGACAGGGTTAGAGCGGAAAGGTCAATGCAGTGGTTTGTGATTGTGTCGTTGGGAGGGAACAACATGACTTCAGACTGAGCAGCAGTTGAATAGAGCCTGTACCATTGTGTCTTATGGGGAAGTAAATTTGACAGTCATCGGCATATAAGTGGAAGGGCATGTTGTGTTTCCGGAAAATAGCACCAAGCGGCAGCAGGTATAAAGAGAATAGGAGGGGACCCAGTATGGACCCCTGCGGAACCCCCCATTTAAGCTCTGCCTCTGCGGAACTAAAATCCTTGATGGAGACACAAAAGGATCTGTCAGTGAGGTAAGATCTGAACCAACTGAGGGCTGATCCTGTGACGCCCACCCACTGCTCCAACCTAGAAATGAGGATCTCATGGTCGATGGTGTCAAAGGCGGCTGTGAGGTCCTACAGGACAAGCAGCACAGAATCACCGGTATCTGTGAATCTGAAGATGTCATTAAAGACCTTCAGCAGGGCAGTTTCAGTGCTGTGGAGAGGTTTAAAGCCAGATTGGAAAAGCTCTAAGATGGCGTGATCCTCCAGGAAGCACCTCAACTGGGACTCGACTATTTTCTCCAGTACTTTAGAAACAAATGGGAGTTTGGAGACAGGCCGGAAGTTGGAAACGAGTGAGGGGTCAAGGTTTGCTTTTTTCAGGAGAGGCTGGACAGCAGCATGTTTAAAGGTTTTTGGCACCACGCCAGTGGATAAACTACTGTTTACTATGGAAAGAATGGACGGACCTAGAGTAGGAAACACCTCCTTTAGTAGTCGAGGGGGGACCACATCAAAGGGGGAACCAGAAGGTTTCAAGCTGCACATGACCTGCTCTAGAGAAGATAGAGTGATGGGTTCAAAATGGTCAAAAGGAGCTACAGATTGAGGTGGGATGGATGGGTCATGAGTTGGAGGGGAAATGAGAGCCCTGGTGGTCGCAATTTTTTCCACAAAGAAATGTAGGAAGTTGTCGCACAGCTCAGTCGAGGCTTCCAGAGGTGATGGTTCGGTGAGGTGGAGAACAGAGTCTAGGGTGGAGAAGAGGACACGTGGGTTGTGAGAGTTTGAGATAATTATATCAGAGAAGAATTTTGATTTAGCAGCTTTTACTGTTTTCTGATAACAGCGCCAACTCTCTTTAAGTATCTGGAAAGAGACCTGCAGCCTGTCTTTCCTCCACTTTCGTTCCACCCTCCTACATTGCTGCCTAGCGGACTTGGTGACGTCACTCAGCCAAGGTTCTGCTCTGAGTTTTGATTTTTTGGTTTTAACAGGTGCAACATGATCCAGAGTCTTTAAGCAGACAGAGTTGAACTGGGATGTCAGCTCCTCTGTGGTGGTGAGAAACACCGGGGGCTGATTGATCATTTCAGAGTTATAAACATCTGTGAAACGTGTGGCAGTGAAGTGGTTAATGGTCCGGGTACTACGCGCAGGAATGCACGACTTAGGAGTTATATGGGGGAGGGTGAACTCAAACTGGACTGGCATGTGGTCTGAAAAAACATTATCACCAATAACAAGATTATTAACAGTCATATCATGAGTTAAAACAAGGTCCAGTGTATGTCCACGCTCTTGGGTGGGACCGTTTACATGCTGAGTTAAATTAAATGAGTCCAATAAATCTAAAAAGTCCTTAACCAAGGGCTTCTCAGGACAGCACACATGCAAATTAAAGTCACCAATAATGAAAACACGCTCATATTTTGGTGTTATTTCAGCCAAGAAGTCAGAAAACTCATTTATGAAGTCCTTAGATCGAGGTGGACGGTAGACAAGTGCAAATAACGTCGGAGGCGAGTGGCCGAGTTCAAAGACGCTCAGCTCAAAGCTGGCGCGGGAAACTGGGATGGGCAGTTGTTTACAGTCAAAAGTTGATTTGAATATTGTTAATAATCCACCACCGCGCCGGTCTGATGGCCGTGGGGAGTTAAAACACAGACTGTTCAGTGGCAGTAATTCCGTCAAGGCGCTGGACTCACCTGGAGACATCCAAGTCTCTGTGATGCAAAAAAAGTCCAGATCGTGCTGTTGAAAGTAATCCCTGAGGATAAAAGTTTTGTTGGTAACAGATCTTGCGCTGACCAAACACATCCGGATATTGTCCAAAGTGGAGCCAGCAGCGGTGGAGTTAGCGCGCACTAATGGCCGCAGGTTTTCAGTAACAGCCCCTCCAGGTCGGTCCGGGCTGCGCAACGGCTGACAACTCCCGCTGGTTACCTGGTCCAGGGATGTGGGAAGCTGGAGACCATGACCACCAGCTGAAGAGGAAGATGCAGAGCGCAGAGCTTTCAGCTTCACCAGCTGACCAGCACGTTTTCCCCGGCGTCTGAAGCGAGATCTCCGGGCAGGCAGGTGAGGAGCGCAGCGAAGGTAAGCTGGCACGTCCGCCAGCAGGGGGGGGGTCCAGAGGTACGCTGATAATGGTCCAGATAAGCGACATCAGTGCCAGAAAAACTAAGATCCAAAAATTGTTGTCTGTCATACACCAGCAGAGAGTTGATGTCATTGATGAGGAATACAAAAAACAAAAATAATCCGAACACCATCAGCAGAGGTGGATTGCAAGCCATGTACACGGGTGCCATCTTACCGGAAATCCCAATGGTCACCCGGATATTGCCAAACAACGCGTTAGGTTGTTTGTACGTGGCAACACCTTTCAACAATTCCAACAACCGACGCACACTCTCTGTCTCGTCCGAGCTCAGAGGTCTGGGGCTCTCTTTCTGGACCTGCTGCTGTTTCTTTGTCGTCTCAGGCTGTTCAAGCCGACGTGGTGGGGAAGCAGTTCCCCCCCTCTGGGGTTCCCAGTGGGATCCCTGTTTGTATGGATCACTTTTGGTGCCATACATTTTACCCTTAGGGCATTCGCCCCCCTTCTGGTACATCCGTTCATCCTCTGGTTCCTTGGGAAACCATTTAGGATCTCGTCTGGACCAGGGGGCACTCACCTGTTGTGGTTTGGCTGCTGGGAAACCTCGTTTCCTCTCGCCTTTTTTGGGAGGGGGAGTCGAAGCTCTCGTCCCTTCCAATTCTAATGACTGGGCAGAAATCCTCTCACCTGGGAACACCTCAATGGGTGTTTTGGTCTGTGAACGGGCTTCAAAGACATTCACAAAACAACTTTTTATCTCACTGATGGATTTCTCTTTGAAATTAGCCATCATTTGCACTGATGTCCTTATGTCAGGGTGGAGATTTTTGCTGAAAACGTACTTAAACGTTTCCTCCTCCTCCATGCCGGAATCGTTCCTGTAACCAAATAAGCCTGCAAAATCCTGGAATAATATGCCCTTGGGTGCTCATTCTTACCTTGCATGACCTTGTCGGCGGCTGGATAACCACCAGGTCCCACGCAAGGGGAAGATTCTTTCATAAGAGCAGCACATAACAGGCAGTAATCCTTTCTTGTGGCATCAGGTTGACGCTCTATGAAGGAAAACACCATCCTGGATGAAGTGAGCCTGATCAAACCTACTTTATCCTCATTAGAATCAACAACAAAAATAAGGACAAACCATGTCTTTGTGACAGTCTGCTGGTAAAAGCAGCTCAGTTTTCTGTCATGAGCTTACACCACTCACTGGTCAGTCCCCTGAGGAAGAGGACATTTTTATGTGTGAATCATCCACAGGGTCATTTTAGTTGAGTCACGAGAGAAGAAGAGAATAAAATTAATCAAAGTTTGTTTTGAAGATGGTCTGGTACAAGGACTGGAGCAAATGAGAGGGAAATAAAAAGAAATGTTAAAAATTACTGGAAGAACTTCAAAGAAGAAATGTGGATGACAGAATTATGAAAAAAGGCTTTTTGGAAGCTAAATATGAATTATTGAGGAATGACAAAAAGATCATGACAGTCTGTCTGTCTGTCTGTATGTCTGCAATGTAATGTAACATTTGTTATGTAATGTAATGTAGTGTAATGACTCTATGTATATATAGGCAATAGAAGAATTTAGAATGTCCAGATCATGGTGGCATCATTCACCACCTCAGCCCCTGTGTGATTATAAATAAACTGACCATGGATCAGTGGACAGAATGGATGAATACTAATAAAAGATGCTGGCTCTGTGGCAGCATAGTGCGACTTGAAGAATCCCTGTAACCTCTGTCAATGAAGAAACTTACATGCTCCCCACCTTGTCAGTAGTGTCCCTAGAGGCACAGTCACAGGCTGTTGGCACACGAGAGAGGTGAGAAGCAGGTCTTGTGATTGACCAACTGAGGAGCAGAGTTCTGTTAAAGGTCTGACTTCATGTGCTCAAGCCACAGCTAGTTTTGAGTCAGAGAGTAAATGGGGTCATCAGCAGAACTGCACAGTACTTGTTGGCATGTTGAGGAAGTAATTCAGACATTTGAACCAGGTGTGATGCAGCAGAGAATATAAAGGACATTAGCCCCCTGAGAACGAGTTTGGTGTCCTTCATTTAAGATATTATATACTCATGTTGCAAAGAGTGAGATCGTTTGAGACGAAAATCCAATCCAACCAGCACCACCACCTTCAACTCTAATGAATCTTTCTATAAAACAAAACCCAGCATGGACTCACCAAAGTAGAAGTTGGGGCCCTTGTGAGGCTGAAAGAATTTCCCGCAGGCTCTGGCGTGGACGTCTGCTCCTTTACTGACCAGCAGCTTCACATAGTAGACACTCCTCCTCTCGATGGCTATATGTAGAGCTGTCTGTCCTGTACAGAGACACTGCATGTTGACTCAGTGATCATTGAAAAGCTCATTTAAGTCACATGATCTTTATTCTTTTCACAATATTTGCCTTTGTTTACAAAAAATCTTTATTGAAAAATGTCTTGAGAGCCCTTGGGCTCCTACTTTTTTTGTCCTCTTATGCTAATTTTAGCTTTTAGCTAGGAATTAGCTACTTTTAGCCTTTAGTTACTTTTGCTAGTCTCTTACTACTTTTAGCTTGCATTTAGCTGCTTTTAGATAGCCTCTAGGTACTTTTGGCAATTAGTTAGCTTTTAGCTAGCATTTTTCTACTTTTAGCTATCAGGTAGCCTTTGGCTGGTTTTAGCTAGCATTTTCTTACTTTTCACTTCTAACTAATGTCTTGCTATTTTAAGTCAGTGTTTTACTATGTTTAGCTTTTAGCTAGCTTTGCAGGTGATTTTCTACTTTTACTCCTTATCTACTATTTCGCTACTTTTAGCTAGCATATTGCTATTTTAAAGCTTTTAAATAAGATTTTTCTAGTTTTAAGCTAGCATTGTGCTTTTTTTTTTTTTTTTGCTTAAGCTTGCATTTTGCAACTTTTATGTTTTAGCTAACTCTTTGCTACTGTTTATTTATTTATTTATTTTTTGCAACTTTAGTTAATGTGCTGTACCTTTGATTTATTTTTTGTTTTAGCTTTTAGTTGGTGTCTTTCTTGTTTTTCCTCTTAGCTTCTTCAACAAATATCTTCAGTCATTTGCTCTCATCACACAGTATTTTTGCAGAAAGTACATTTTTTCTAGTTTTGACTTAGGATTGCATTTTACAAACAAAATAAACATCTAATGACAGACAGATATTTTATTACATTTAGGCTCTCTTTGGAGCATTTGATCATATAAACAGACTAATTTAAGCTTCTATAGTCAAAGCAAAGTTGACCTTTATAGTAGCTGCTGGTGAACTCTGCATTGACAAACTTCTTAATATCTCCCAGCCTCTCTGAAATGTTGAGGAGCACCTCTACGGTCTCGTTCTTGCCGTCCATGAGGTGCAGCAGAGCCTTCATCAGGGTAGTTTTACCGTAGGACTGATCTACAAACAGAACAACACATCTGAGTATGTTGTACCACTGGGGGTTGCTTCATGTTGCATTAAGGGTGCTCAGGCTCTTACACAAAGAGTCAGAGAGTTTCTTCATGTTCCGATGCAAGTAGTCGTATAGACCGTCCAGTTTTTGGACGTCCCTACTGGCCACAGCCTCAAACAATCGGTCAATGTTAAAAATCAAGTCGTCTCTGTGTTGCTGTGGCTGCTCGCCTTGAATCCCTCTAGAAACAAAAGATGTTAAATTTACCAGGATTGCAACAGATTTCCCTGGTTCGGTCCATTTTAATTACCATCCTGAGTCTTGAAGACACACAGACACACAACCCTAACAAGACTTTAACGGAGGCACAAGTCAGTTAATCACCGCATGCAGAGGCTCACTTGTCAAATCCAAGATTGAATCTGAGTTTGGGTTTGGGTTTCTCTATTTCCTCCTGGTAGTCAGTGTCCATGGGAACCTTGGGGGACCAACTAGAGGTCTTGGAGGTCACGCCATCCTTCTTTTTCTCCTCCTCTGTCCTGTCGTCGGCCTCCAGGGAAAAGCCGAACATCTCCGACTTGTCCATCGTGCCCTCCAGCGCTCTAGATTGAAGCAAATGTGCAACAGAATGTGATCACATTCCTACATCTGATCTTCATTTAAAAAATACACAAACTCCAATTATATATTTTAAAGAGTGTAAAAGTTGACTCCCTGTGCATTTGAACGCACCGTTACAGGACTGGGTCTCCTTAAAGCCCTGGATTTTGTTGCTCATTGTTTAGGCTCGTTGGCCTGCTGGAAGGTGACCCTCTACCCGGGGGGATGTGATAAAATTAAATAAATAAATGTACCATGAAATAAATAAATGTAAATTTCCAATTAAATAAATAAATATACCATGAAATAAATGTTTTTAAATAAAAAAATCTTGAAAGTGACATTTAATTATTTAAAGTCATTATTTAAAAGGTACTACATTTATTTATTTAAAGGGACATTTAATTACTTAATTAATTGTGTATTTAATAATTTAATTGTATATTTAATGATTTAACGATGTATTGAATAATTAATTTATACATTTAATTATTTCATGGCACATTTATTTATTTAATTGGACATTTACATTTATTTATTTCATGACATATTAGTATATTCAATTTTGTCACATTTCACCCTCCATGAGTCTCAGATCTCTGGAAGACTCCCAAAAGGCTTCTCTTAAGAATTTATTTATATTTTGACCAGTGTCTCATGTAAACATCCTCAGAGCATGATGCTGCCACCACCATGCTTCAATGGTGTTCTCAGCTGGATAAGAGGTTGTTCTGTGGGTTTGTGTCAGGTGTGGTTTGTTCTTGATGGTCTAAAAGTTCAACTTTAATCTTGTCACACCACAGCACCTTCTTCTACGTGTCTGGAGCGTCTACAATACGCCTCTGATCTTGCTTTTGATGTAGCAGCTCCTAAACTGTGGACTGAGCTGCCCCAGACCTCTTCATTGTCTAACTTTAGATTTTGTAGTTTTGTCTGATTTTACTGTTTGACCTAAATTTTATGTTTTTTACTCTTTATTACTTGCTTTTAATTTACTTTGTGCTTTAATTGTATTATGTATAGCGTGAGCTCTGTACAACACTTTAGTCTTCTTTGGTGATTTAATCCAAATAAAGTTGAGTTGTATATTTTTATAACCCAACCCTGATCTCCTCCACATCTTTGTCTCTGACATGTGTGGAGTTCCTTGGTCTTCATGATATCTCTTACTTAGTGGTAGCCTGCATGACTTAAATGGAGGTATGGTTTTCTCCTTTTGTACTGTACCTTACTTTTGAACTAACTTACAAAATCTGAATTGTTTTGTGAAGATCAATTGCTTGTAATCAAAATGAAAATCCTTATAAATTTCAGGCTGTAAGGCAGCAAAATAGAAAGAGCACTGGGGGAGGGGGCGGGCACATTACAGTCCACTGTATGAATAGATATTAATTATGTGCAAATTAAGAATACGACTTAGTTTACATGTCCAAACTGAGTGTACTGAGTGTATTTTAATTTATTTTAAAGTTTTTTTTTTTTATCTTTTAGCAGAAAGTTAGCCTCAGAGGATGGACTCAGTGGCCTTTAAGGAGAACAGACATGTGATGTTTGCTTCCTCTGATGACTAACAAAGCAGTTTATTTAGAAGAAAGATTTCCATGGCAGTCAGCAGAGTAAACAAATCGTTCACGCAAAGCTTTATTAAGAAACAGATTCAGCCAAGACGAGCTATAATAGATTCAGCCAAACTTCCTTCTTTATGACTAATGTTAAAACCAACGTCTTTGCAGGATTTTTGTTCTCCATTTTGATCAGAAAAATGGGAAACAAGTAGCCCAGTCAAAACCAGGATTCTAAAAACAACACGAGAGGCGTTCACATGTAAAAAGTAATCTTTTATTTTAAACCCAGCTAGATTTCAAAAAGATTGAACACTAACAAGGCCTGGCTTCACTGACGGTCTGTGTCGAGGAGACTGCTGGTGGTTTAACAGTTTTGCACGGGTGCATGTCTTCCTGCTGTATTATTACAGGATCTATTGATTCATGGAGGGCAGTAATATGAGAAGACAACAGCCATGGACGGACGACTAACATCATCTTCTCTGTCTTCATTAAAGCTCAGAAAAAAAACAGAAAAAAATCTGTAATGCGGCAATTTGAGAAAATGGTCCATTTAATTAACAATGAAAGTGCAATGTTTTACTGAAAATATCAGATTTCATTTAACTGGGTTGTGCTCAGACCATTTGAGGTGACTGATATAACCTTCATGATTTAGAATGATCCATTAAAAATGATTAAACTCACCAGAAGTAAGCCTTCCCTCTTTAGATTCTCTTCTTTCACAAGAAATAAAAAAAATCTAATTTTCAAGTCCAAAACTAAAACAAGGGTGTGTTGTCCTGCAGAGATCTGGGCGTGTTGATCTCAACGCTCTCCATAAATAAGATGCTCACTTCTCATGATGCCAGAAGAAAGCTAGGGCTGAAGTGACCCACCCTCAGTAAGATCGTACAGATGAGTGCATTACTGTAGAGTGCATGAGAGGATGCTGTGCTGACCCGCCTCATTCAGAGGAACTCAGCAGACACTCCACAGAGGCACTGAAAGCAGATCATCAGACAGGACTGAAGCAAGGAGCTGATTAACCCTCAACTAAAACCTTCTGTAAAATCACAAGTTAAAGAAATACTTAACTAGGAAATTAAAATGATAAGTCACGTCACACTCACCACTCTGTTTTAAAAAGGGATTTCTGTCAAAAGTGTGAAAATTTGTTTTTCAGGGCACAGAGTTGCTGCAGAGCTTCCTGTGGTACTTATGCACCTCTATGCACTTTCATTTCAGTTTTCTGTGTGTGTGCATGTGTGTGTGTGCTGGTTCTGTGACTGTATGTGGTTGTGAACAACTTCATGTGTTCTAAGGTTGGTTTCTCTGACGAGCACTTCCTGTTTGCCTCTCTCAGTTAAACATGCAGAGAGACTGGTGGCCCACAGACATGTCGAGCCTTAAGACAGGCGCTCCAGCTCTTATCTGTAACGACACACAGCCGGATGCAGCTTCACCAACGTCTGATCAGTTACTATGATTTTTAACAGGGCTGCAGAGATACAAGTATACATTCAACAAAATTAATAAAAATCAACATTTGAAGTCAAGATGATCAACTTTTTGCAAAAAAGCTCCATGCACTTGAAAGACAGAGTAGATGTAAATGGACTGTACGTTTATGGTGTCTTTCTGTTTTATCAAGACACTCAAAGTGTCAGTCTGTTCATCCCTGAACAAGTGACCGCTGGCCTGGAGGTGAGTGTAGACCACAGAGTCCTAATCAGTGCTTTATCACATTCAAACACTGATGGGACACACAACGGAGGCAATGCGGTTCAGTGTCTTGCTCAGGGACACTTCAGCATGTGACTGCTGGTGGATCCAAACCCCCAACTCTTACATTGGAAGATTGCTCTAACCACTCAGCCACAGCTGCCCCAGATGTGTGTGAATGGCAGGAAGGCAGATGGAACAGTAGCATAAACTGGGAGATGAAGTTAGAGAGGCAAGATTGAGATGGTTTGGACATGTCCAGAGGAGGGACAATGGGTATATTGGTAGAAGGATGTTAGAAATGCAGATGCCAGGAAAAAGACAAAAAGAAGATGTATGGATGCAGTTAGAGAGACCATGGAGGTAGTTGGAGTGAGGACAGAGGATGCAGAGGACAGGGATGGAGGAGGAAGACTCGCTGTGGCGAAGAGTCAAAAGAAACAGTGAAAGAAGAAACTTCTGGTTTGCAGTTTGGACCTCAGACAGAGAAATATCTTGAGTCATTTCAATGTTTTATTGGTGAACAATAACTGGATTTTTCACTCATTGGTAATTTGTTTAGATTTTGTATAAATTTTTTACACAGATAATTTGTCCATCTGCTCTTTTCACTGTTTTTCTGTATTTACTGGTGATTTTATTCATGGAACATCCAGTGTAGGGCTGCACAACACCCACCCTTTTACAATCCAAAGGTTTTAAGTCATAATGTAAAGGAACTGGTCTTTATCAGGTGTAAATTGTTCTAATCTAGTCCTGGGTGTACAAAAACACAACAGATTGTGTGAAAAACCAAGTCCACCTCATGAGTTAACCGTTTGTTAAAACCTTTCTGCAGTACAAACTCTCAGCTGTGTTTTATCAGTCTCAATAGTTTACAGAAACTTTTTTTGCAGCGTTGTTTGTGTTCAGTGAAGTTTGCAGACATTTATTTCTGCACAGCTCTTGTAAGTCAACACCTCATCATTTTATCAGGTCTGGACTAAACGTTTTCTTTTCTGCTCTGTTGCAGATGTGCTGCTGTGTTTGTGATCATTGTTCTGTTCACCATGGCCCAGTTTGGTCTGACGTTGGACGGATGGTCTAATGTTTGACTAGAATCCTTTGGTCTACAGAGGAGTTCATGGTTCACTCAATGACTGTAAGTAGTCCCAAATCATAACCACTTCACCACCATGCTGACACTTGGTATCAAGTGTTTGTTCTATCCTGATTCATGCTCAATAATCCAGGTAGAAAAATCCAACAAAGTTAAGATTTGCTTGTGCTGATATGCTGCCTGGTTTGCTCCAAACATTACGCTACCATTATGGGTAAACATCCTAATTTTGGTTTCCTCTGTCAAATGCCCAAACCCTCCTTGTACAGTCTTCTGTTTGTCACGTCATGACCTTTATCCTGCTGATGAAGTCCTGTAGAGTCTGAGGTGGTGCTGCAGACTGTCCTTCATTTCACACGATCTGACCTTTGGGTGAGTTTCTCGGTAAGTCTATTGCTGAGAGGATAGACAGCTGTCTTAAGTGTTATCCACTTGTGAATATCTGTAGAATGAAAAACTCCAAATTATTTGGAAACACACACCTGTTTACTCCAGAGCAGCAAACTGATAAAAGTAGAGGAACTTACACTGATGATGATATGATTTTTATGCTGATGATACACTTGTTTACTGTCGAGCTAAAACGAAGGGTTTCCATCTTTTACAGTCTGATTTTGACATCATCCAGTCAAATTTGTTTTGTCTCAAACTTGTCCTAAATGCCAACAAAACCAAAGGGATGTTTTTTTTCAAAAAGGAAGTCGGTCCTAGCAGTTCTTCTTTTGATTTTATCCTCAAATGGTGCCCCTATTGAGTTTTGTCGATTCTGACAAATATTTGGGTATTTTGGTCGATTCACATCCCTTAGAATAAAATAGAATAGAATTCAACTTTATTGTCATTGCACATGTCACAGGTACAAAGCAACGAAATGCAGTTTGCATCTATCCAGAAGTGCTTAGCAAGAAAAATAAATTGGTAGATATATATAGTACAATATACAGTAAGTTGCTTTGAATATGCTATAGGTATAAATATATACAGGTTGTGAGTGTACAGACTATGAACAGGTTATAATATGAAGGGGTATAAACAGCTATATAAAAGAAAAAAAATATATATATATATATAAGTATGTGAGTACTTATGAACAGTAGATAGTAGATTATGTGTACAGTTTGTACAGTAGTGGGCTAACGGATGAAAGTGCAGGTGGTGGTGTTACAGTCCATGTGCTGTTGTTGTGTGTATGAGAATACAGACCGTTGTTGTTATTCAGATGTCAGGAGGCAGAGTTAAGGAGTGTGACAGCTGTGGGGAAGAAGCTGTTCCGGTACCTGGTGGTTTTAGTCCGGAGGCTCCTGTAGCGCCTCCCAGAGGGCAGGAGGGTGAAGAGTCTGTGTGCTGGGTGGCTGAAGTCTTTTATGATTTTTCCAGCCCTTTTCAGACACCGCTTCCTGTAGATGTCCTTTATGGCAGGAAGTGGTGATCCGGTGATGTGTTGGGCGGCTTTCACCACCCTCTGCAGCGCCTTCCGGTCTGAGGCAGAGCAGCTCCCGTACCAGACTGTGATGCAGTTGGACAGGATGCTCTCAATGGTGCAGCGGTAAAAGTTCACCAGGATGTCTGAGGACAGGTGGTTCTTCCTCAGAGTCCTCAGAAAGAAAAGACGCTGGTGAGCTTTCTTGATCAGTTTGGAACAGCCAGTCGTCCAGGTGAGATCCTCGGAGATGTGGACACCCAGGAACTTGAAGCTGTTCACACGCTCCACCACCGCCCCCTTGATGTAGATGGGTGGATGTGGGCCAGCGTTCCTCCTGAAGTCCACAATGAGCTCCTTAGTCTTCTCGGTGTTGAGCAGCAGGTTGTTGTTGTCACACCACTCAGCCAGACGAACCACCTCCTCCCTGTAAGCGGTCTCATCGTTGTCTTTGATGAGGCCGATCACCGTGGTGTCATCTGCAAACTTAATGATGGTATTGGAACCATCAACAGGTTTGCAGTCATGGGTGAAGAGGGAGTAGAGGAAGGGACTCATCACACCGCCTTGTGGTACACCGGTGTTAATAGTGATGATAGATGAGCAGTGGTTATCCAGCCGGACATGTTGGGGTCGGTTGGTCAGAAAGTCCAGTAACCAGTTGCCCATGAGGGAACTGATGCCCAAATCTGTCAGTTTTGTGATGAGTTTTGAGGGGATGACTGTGTTGAATGCTGAACTAAAATCTATGAACAGCATCCGGGCAAAGGTGTTTTTGTTGTCCAAGTGTGAGAGAACAGAGTGCAGCGCTATGGAGACTGCATCCTCTGTGCTCCTGTTCTGGCGGTATGCAAATTGGTGGGGGTCCAGGGTGGGGGGGAGACAGGATTTGAGGTGTACTAGGACCAGCTGCTCAAAACATTTTGCGATGATGGAGGTGAGGGCTATCGGACGGTAGTCGTTGAGTCTTGATGGTTTTGAGTTTTTGGGTATCGGGACGATGGAGGTGGTTTTGAAGCAGGTTGGTACCACAGCACGGGCCAAGGACAGGTTGAATATGTCCGTCAGTACTCCTGCCAGCTCCCCAGAACACACTCTAAGAACACGTCCAGGGATGCCATCAGGACCCGCAGCCTTGTGAACTTTAATCCTGCTCAGCGCCGCTCCTACATCGGTGGGGAAAAGAGTCAGTGGTTGGTGGTCTGGAGACACATCTGCCTTAGTTGTAGTTGTTGGGTTCCCTCTCTCAAAACGAGCATAGAAATTGTTGAGCTCATTGAGGAAGGAAACATCAGAGGAGACGGGGGAGGGGTTGATGGCCCTGTAATCTGTAATGATCTGGAGTCCTTGCCACATACGTCGGGGGTTGGAGTTTGAGAAGTGTTCTTCTATCCTCCCCTTGTAGTGGTGCTTGGCCTTTTTGATGCCCCTCTTCAGCTCAGCCCTGGCTGTACTGTAGGCCTGTGTATCCCCTGACCTGAAGGCGATGTTGCAAGCCTTCAGCAGTAGACGTACATCCCGATTCATCCAAGGCTTCTGGTTGGGGTACATGGTGAT